TATATATATATATATATATATATGGTAATATTTTCCTAAGGTGACACCTTAGATTCCCACATAAGGACGCGGCCTAAAATAGCATCATTCCCTAATTTTTTTGGCGATCCACTCCATTGAACTTGATCTACACGTTCTTAAACCCAAACACATAAATTTTGGGATGAACCCATCATGTTTTGACCCTTCGTTGAGCCGTACAAAAAGTTCTATTCATTTGAAACCGTTAAAATTGCGATGAGTGGATGAAGGGTCAAAACATGATGGGTTCATTCTAAAATTGGTGTGTTTGAGTTTAAGAACGTATAGATCAAGTTCAACAGAGCGGATCATAAAAAAAAATTAGTGATTGATATGATTTTAGACCGCGTCCTTAAGTGGGAATCTAAGGTGTCACCTTAGGAAAACATTTCCCATATATATATATATATATATATATATATATATATATATATATATATATATATATGGGAGAAGTGTTCCTAAGGTGATGCCTTAGATAATTATCTAAGGACGCGGCCTAAAATCACATGATTGAGCTATATTGTGGATGATCCGCTTCGTTAAACTTTATCTACATATTCTAAAACCCTAACACACCGAGTTTGGGGTGAACCCATCGTCGTTTGACCCTCCGTCGAGCCATATGAAAAGTTTTATTCATTCGAACCGTTAAAATTGATACGAGTGGATGAAGGGTCAAACAACAACGAGTTCACCCTAAACTTATTGTGTTAGGGTTTTAGAATATATATATACATATCAAGTTTAATAAAGCAGATCATCCACAATATAGCTCAATCATGTGATTTTAGGTCGCGTCCTTATATGATTATCTAAGGCATCACCTTAGGAACACTTCTCCTATATAGATCAAGTTCAACGGAGCGAATGATCCACAATATATAGTATGCAACAAATTTGAATCTTTACAAATCTAAGATGTATTAGAGGAGAACATGTATGAATTTTCATTTCTTCTTTCACTTTCTTTTCCTTCTTTTTTCCTAATTATACTAGTACAAAGTGTAACTGCCCCAACGGGTGATAGTAACCATTGGGGCAACTATTATTTTAACTGAGAACTGCCAATCAAAGAACAAGTGTTTGCTTGTTTCCAGTTGACGCCTAGTACACAGAACACAGTGGTTTTGATTTGAGTTTAAGATTCTCATTCTGCCTAACCTATCCATGGTAAGAAGTCATGAATGGCAGATTAACCATACAGTAAAAGAGTGCTTAGGATAGAGGATCTCATCCCAGACTGTATCATACCAACCAACCGAAGGAGCTGGAGCTCAGTGAGCTAGAGCCTTGTACACAGCAGTGTGTTGGAGTTTACCATTAGAGCAGCAATGATCAATGACGTTCTTCAATCTTTCAAAGCTTCCGAACTTGTTCAACAGCATATCCCTCACCTTGAGGAGTTATTTCCACATCCGTGAGTCATTAACCTTGCTTTGAATCTCCCAAAGATTATAGTTTTGTAACTTGAAAGGCAAGGGACCCATGAAGAAATTGAAGAGGATGGCACTTGAGGCTACAATCTATATGACCCGGCAAGAGCGCAACTTGAGAATCTTTCAGGGCAAAGCTTGAGGATCATATCAGGCCCTTCGGGCAATTAAAATTTTCATTTATACAAAAGTTTTGAATGAGAGTACACACGTTCATATGAAGGACCTTCTTGAGAAATTGTAATTTTTCTTTTTGATTACCAGATAACTTTTGGTTTTTGACGTGTTTCACAATGTTACATTTGGAAAATGAAAAAAATTTAGTTCATTTACCAAAAAAAAAACTATTGTTTTAACTTTTTTGAAAGAAAAACAAAAAGAAAAATCGATATCCTCCGCAAAATCGAAACAAATTTCCCGTGACTTAGAGCATGGGCAGCAAGCTCCCAGCTCCGCTCTCAGCTCCGACGTGGCCAAGCTCCCAGCTTTAACGCCCTCCAACAGCCTCCGAAGCGCTCCCAAGGACCTCCCAAGCGCTGACGTGGCTGCCTCCAGCTTCGGCGCCTCCGTCGATGGAGGGGATTTGGGGTTGGGGTTGGGTCTGTCGAAGGGGTGGGGTTGGGTCTGTCGCAGGGAGACGATTTGGACGAAGGGGGTGGGGTTGGGGTTTGGACGAAGGGGGTGGGGTTTGGTCTGTCGAAGTTGAGATGAAGATGAAGAGGTTTGGGTTTGGGGAGATGAAGAGGAGTGGGTTTGGGGTTGGGGAGATGAAGAGGTGAAAAATGAGCTTCAGTTGAAATAAATGAAATTTTCTTAAATGAAATAAATGAAATAAATGCCGTTGAGTGAAATAAATGAGCCTAAAGAGTTGAAAAATGACCTTTGAGTGAAAATGAAAATTTCATGCCGTTGAGTGAAAATTAAAATAGAAGAGGGGGTTTTTTGATATTGTTGGAGCTCCTAACTAGGAGCTTGTTGGAGCTCCATGAAAGAAGGAGGGCATCCAAGGCTTATTTTTTTTATTTTTTATTCTAAAATGCTTGAGAGCTCTTGAGAGCTTGCTGACTAGGACTCTCAACTGGGAGCTTAATGCAGTTGCTCTTATCTCCCTCGCTCTCGTTCTATCTGTTCACTTGCTCCTAGAATTCTTCCCCAGAACCAAATTCCTAGATACCTGATCCTCGCTGCCTTCATCTCTAACGCCGCCTCCCCTCCACCTCCATCTCGTCTCCATCATCTCCTCCTCCAATCCTCGCTCACTATCAAAACCCAAAAACAAAAGCCAAGATCCCGCATCTAGGGTTCAATGCTCTGCCGCCTCCTCACCACTGCCCCTATCCTACCTTAGCCCCCCGTAAGTCCTTTCTCCTTTCCCTTCAAAACCCTAACCCTAGTTTTTGGGTATTTGCTAAAATTTAGGGTATTTTTCGAAATTTAATGCAATTTTTATGTTGCATATTATTATGTTTATGCAATTTTATGTTTGGGTACGTTCTAAAATTTTAGGACATTTCTGATATTTTTGAATATTTTCTAAAACTTTGGGTATTTTCTGAACTATGATGCACTTTGTGATGTCGCATGTTATCTATAAGCAAGGAGTTTGCAGAATCAAAGGGATTATTCAGGTGAGAAACAACCCTTAAAATCTTTTAAATGGTCATAGTTAGATGAGTGGTAGATTTTTCAACTTGGGATTCCCTATGTTTCTGGATTAATTTGTTGTATGATAATCATTTCTACGCAGGAGTAATTTGTTACATAATCAGGTTGGCTGATTTTTTTTCCTTTTGTTTTGGAGTAATTTGTTCATCGTACATGAGTTATTTCGTTAGTAGATTTAATGAGAAGGTTATATGGTAAGGAAGATGATGGAATATTATACTTATGAACCCAGCAAAATAAATCGGATGCTCTGTTGTGAATTGAGATATTATAGTTGTAGGCTGTCTAAAAATCACAATAGATAGCTGATCCCCCATCAAACGTCGATGATGGAGATAACAATCTGACGACTTCCAGAAGGTTACAATTTAAAGATTTTCACGTAAATTGATGAATGTTACAATCTGACGATCTTCACGACAACCGATGAAAGCTCTAATCAATAACATTCACAATCAACATTGGGAGTTATAATTTAACGACTCTCATTTTCAAGGAGTCAAGATGAAGATTACAAGATGGTGATCTTTGCAACGCTCTAGCAAAAGAGACTACAAATCGACTGTCTCTTCAAATTCAGACGCGGAACTCACTTATGCGTCCCAGATTCAAAACGCATAGTTCGTGGCCGCGTTCCAAACTCTCAGAACAAAACACGGAGGTCCTCCCCGTGTGTCAACACCAAAACACGGAGGTCCTCCTCGTGTGTCAGCAACAAAACGCTGGAGTCGGACCTACGTTGCAATACCAAAACGCGGAGGTCCTCCCCGCGTGTCAACACCAAAACACGGAGGTCCTCCCCTGCGTTGCAACATCAAAACGCGAGGGTCAGACCTGCATTTTTTGTGTTTGACTGGTTCAAACAGAACCTATACGGTTTTAAAACCGTATCTCCACTTACTGGGGTCGGTTACACCTCATTATGGAGAGATTTTAAGGGGGATTACACCCTTTAAACTCTTGAACAGTTCCAAAACTGTTTCCCACGATTTGGGGACGGTTACACCCCACTTAGGAGTGATTTAAGGGGCGGTTAGACCCCCTTAATCCTCTATAAATAAGAAGAAATTCAACTGAGTTAAGGGTTAGAACTTCTTGGCTCGGATTGACCCTAGAGCTTGGCAGCAAAGAGACGATCTTTGGAGCATTCTCGGATCTGGAGATCGATCACCGGAGCTTTCTTCTGGCCTTGGCTTACTAACCGATTTTCGATTCAAATCAACTCTTTTACATAGTTCTTCTAAACTCATTCAGAGTTCTAAAACTTGCTTTGCAAGTTCTCCACAGCGTCAAACCGTGAGGAGAAGACATCGTTCCAGTGAAGCAAAACGTCGGATCGTCAACAGAGAGCAAACTCGACGCGAGCATTCGAAGGAGTCACTCCATCGTCACCGTGAAGAACCCATAATTAAACAAAGGGGAGAATTCAGATCATTCTTTTCTCTTTTGTAATTAGGAAATGCAATTATAATTGATGTCAAAGGAATACAAATCAAAATTTTCTTTCATTTCTTTTACTACAAAATTTTTCCACAAACAAAAGATGGCGACTCTGTTGAGGACGAGCTTCTCTGATGAAGAAGTGGTCGCGTAATTCGATGTTCATCTCACTGGAACAACCATCGAAACTCTCATGATAGAGTTTGATCAAGCCAAGTTTGAGGAGGCTCTCCTCCAGATCCCTTAGCCCCAAGGCTATGCGTAAGATCCACAAAGTTTCTAAGGACACTAAAGCTCCAGTTATGACTGACTCATCAAAGGGCTGTCTCCCTTGGGGGTTGCACTGTTCATACAGTCCCCTCTTTGAAGGAGAAGACTTAGCTTTGGCACAATTTCATGAAAGTCGATCCTCCAACCAACGCGAGCTTCGCGTTCGTGAGCCTAAACACAACCCTGAGCTTCGTGTTTCTACTTTAGAACGCAAGCTTCGTGTTTATGAGCTCAAACATGAGCTTCGCAAGAACCAGACTGAACGTGGCCCTCAATGGCGCGTTTTACAGCCAAAACACGGACCTCAAGCCTTCGTTGAACGCGAACTTCAACTTCGCGTTTCCCAGTCAAAACACAACCCTCGCGTCGACAATGAAGGATGCGATCCTCATGTTGCCAAACCAAACTGCGGACTTCGCGTTTCAAGTGCCTAGCGCGACCTTCGAGTCTCAAGTGCCAAACGCGACCTTCGCGTCTCAAGTGCCAAACGTGACCCTCGCGTCCCAAGTTTTAAATCTAATACAGAACCTGGTGTATACTTTGCGTAGCGTGACTAGATTGAGGGGCGGATGTCAAAAGTCCATGGATTCAAGGCATCTCAACCAGATCCATGTTCACCAAGAGCCAGTCCTGTCCAATCATAGACTGGGGGTTCCAGTTCAAACCTCACGATCAGTGAGTAATTCTCCTCGAATCTTTACAACAGATTTGAGAGAGTTCATATCGAGTGAAAGACCGATACAACAAATTATTCGTTCATTCCAATGTGAACGACTGATCCCTACGGTCCTCTCAGGATGCCAATGCTGCTCATATGCGCCAAACCGTCGATATTCAACCGACCAACGAATGTTGTTTTGCCTTACCAACGACGACGTTCGCACAGGAAGAAGTCTCTAGAAACCGAGTATCCTGGAGTCACTATCAATGTGATCGGCAGAGGCAAAGCCTCAGGTCCTAGTTCCGATGACTCTAAGACAAGTCGTTTACCGACCGTTAGAGAAATCACTAACGAGTTTGAAGGAGTCTACCGACACACTCGGACTCGAACGGGAGTCATTCCCCCTGTCAACTATCGGAGGTTACCCAGAGGAACCAATTCCGATGATGAACACTCAGCCATTGCAGAGTCCTAATCGTCAAGCTTTTTTGTTAAACATGAGAGCTCTGCTTATATGACGGGAAACCATGAAGATCTCGCAAAGAGACTTGATGAGCAGGAGGCCATGCTCAAATCTCAGCAGAAGGCCATCAATGAACTCTTGGCCCTGTTGACTCAAATCGTCACAGACAAGGCAAAATCTCAGAAGACAGATTCGCTACCCAGGCAAGAATCTTCCCGAAGAGGAAGAACGTCTTCATCCTGACTTCACACAAGCAAAGGGAAGGAAAAAGCGGTTGATGACGCTGCTTCTGACCAAGAAGCCCACAATCTGGAATCTTCCTCTGATAAAGAAAGAGAGACGGAGAACGAGCAGAATCTTCAGTCTACCAAAATAAAAGAATTGGAAGCCCGCCTCAATGCCATTGCTGATAGAAGCGAGCTGTAAGATGAGGGAGTTGTCAGGCCCTATCCTGCCGAATGGGATGCGGCCCCTTATCCTCCAAAATTTAAGGTCCCAACGCTACAAACTTTTGACGGCATGGGATCACCGAACCAACATATCTATCATTTCAAGTCACAGACTGGGAGTATGATATCAAACGATGTCATACTGGCTCGATTGTTCATTGACACCCTTAAGAAAGTTGTTTTTGAATGGTTTAGGAAACTGTCTGCTGGATGTATCCAAAAGTGGGCGGATCTAGAGAGACTCTTCCTGTCAAGATTCTTTGAAGAGGATACAGAAGTCTCCATCCATACCCTTCTCGCCACTAAGCAGAAGAAGAGGGAGTCCGTCAAAGCCTTCGTCAAGAGGTTTCGAAACATGGCTCTGCGATGTTCGTCAGGTATGACACAGTCTACACTGGTAGAGACCTGTCGACACAACTTGCAAACCAATCTCCTAGCCCGAATAGGAGTTGCAGAATGCCGTTTCTGGAGACAACTAATTTCTCAAGGAGAACAGACTCAAAAGATTATTACCAGGATCAAAGCTGAAGAACAAAGTAGGCAAGATCCACCTGAGCAATCGGACCAAGCTTAATCTTCTTAGTCAGAAGGAGAATATACTACGGCTATTGAAGCCAATTCTCTTCAGTAGGATGGCGGGTCCAACAACTATCACGTTAATAATTACCTCTGATAGTCGAACTCGTTAGATAATGGCCTACTAGGCGATGTGCCATTTCTATCCTTTTTTCCCCAGCACTTGTTCAAGACTGGGGGTTGGTTTATTTGTAGTTTATTAGATTATGAATAATAATTTTTTTTTGAGTTGTCACGTTCAATAGAATACCTCTGTCAACCACGAAATCTGTCAAAACTATTAAGTTAACAATACACCTCTGATAGTCTATTTTCTCCAAATTCCCCTACCAATCCTCTTCAAGTAGGATGACGGGTCTACAAAAAACTATCATGTTAATGATCACCTCTGATAGTCCATTTCCCCCAAATTCTCCTACTAATCATCTTCAATAGGATGGTAGGTTCACAAAACTATCACGTTAACAGTTACCTCTGATAGTCCATCAATCTGCTAATCCTCTTCAATAGGATGGTAGATCCATAAAACTATCACGTTAACATCTACCTCTGATAGTCCATTAATCTGCTAATCCTCTTCAATAGGATGGTAGATTCATAAAACCATCACGTTAATATCTATCTCTGATAGTCCATCAATCTGCTAATCCTCTTTAATAGGATGACAGATCTACAAAACTATCACGTTAATATTTACTTCTGATAGTCCATCAACTTATCAATCATCTTCAATAGGATGATAGATCCACAAAACTATCACGTTAACATCTACCTCTGATAGTCCATCAATCTGCTAATCCTCTTCAATAGGATGGCAGATCTATAAAACTATCACGTTAATATTTACCTCTGATAGTCCATTAACTTACCAATCCTCTTTAATAGGATGATAGATCCATAAAACTATCACGTTAACATCTACCTCTGATAGTCCATCAATCTGCTAATCCTCTTCAATAGGATGACAGATCTACAAAACTATCACGTTAATATTTACCTCTGATAGTCCATCAACTTGCCAATCCTCTTCAATAGGATAACAGGTCCACAAAACTATCACGTTAATATATACCTCTGATAGTTTATCAACTTGCCAATCTTCTTCATGGCAAGTCCACAAAACTATCATGTTAACAGCTACCTCTGATAGTCAAACTCATCAGATAATGGTTTACCAGGTGATGTGCCTCTATTCCAACTTCATGGATAGTGCCTTACTAGGCGATGTGTCTTGTCTACATCTTTTTCTTCCCCAGCCAAATCTTAATCAAAGATTGGGGGTTGGTTACTTAGAATCCACTGGATTAAGAGTAACGAATCTTTCACATTGTCGGGTTAACATTATATTTCTGACGATCATCACCCCCACAGAGTATGAATGCAACTTTCATCACTCCTAATTTGTCACGTTAACAACATACCTCTGACAATCAACTTATTAATCCTTGTTAATAGGATGATAAGTCCTCAAAATTGCTCAAATCGCAATCTTCCCAAGCAAGATGTTAAGTTTTAAAAATCTTATTCAAATCACAAGTATCAAAATTAATCACTTCTGGTGATAAACTCACCTAGCAAGTTTCCCCAGCGAGACGCTAATTCCCAAAATCTTGTGTAAGTCACAAGTACCTATTTTTCTGTCATGTTAACACTATATCTCTGACAATCCACTTATCAATCCTCTTCAATAGGATGATAAGTCCACAAAGTTGCTCCAATCACAACACATTCCTGTCATGTTAACACTAAACCTCTGACAAATTCACTTATCAATCCTCTTCAATAGGATGATAAGTTCACAAAGTTGCTCTAATCGCAACACAAATCCTGTCATGTTAACACTATACCTTTGACAATCCACTTATCAATCCTCTTCAATAGGATGATAAGTCCACAAAGTTGCTCCAATCGTAACACATTCCTGTCATATTAACACTAAACCTCTGACAAATTCACTTATCAATCATCTTCAATAGGATGATAAGTTCACAAAGTTGCTCCAATCGCAACACAAATCTTGTCACGTTAACACCAAACCTCTGACAATTAACTTATCGTCTCTCTTCAATAGGATGATAAGTCCACAAAGTTTCTCCAATCGTAACACATTTCTGTCATGTTAATACTAAACCTCTGATAAATTTACTTATCAATCCTCTTCAATAGGATGATAAGTTTACAAAGTTGCTCCAATCGCAACACAAATCTTGCCACGTTAACACTAAACCTCTGACAATTAACTTATCGTCTCTCTTCAATAGGATGATATCATAATAAGTTCACAAAGTTGCTCCAATCGCAACACAAATCCTGTCACGTTAACACCAAACCTCTGACAATTAATTTATCGACTCTTCCCAATAGAGTGATAGGTCCACAAACCCGTCAAGTTAACATCACACCTCTGACAATCAAATCAACTTATCGACTCTCTTCAATAGAGCGATAGACCCATAAAATACTGTTAGGTTAATATCACACCTCTAATAGTCAAACCCCCAATGAACTTGTTAATTATTTTTTTAACAAGAATAGCAAGTTTTTATTATAAAATCCCCAGCGGATTAAATATTTTCTGGAATTATCCTAGTGATAATAAAGAAAATTTCTGAATTTCACTCTAAGTAGAAATTCATGCCAAGTTAATATTAAACCTCTGGCGCTTCTAACTTTCTTTCAGTGTTTCAAGTAACACAGGAAGAAATAATGATAAAGTCTACGTATTTAATATCGTAACCAGTGATTATCATTAAATTAATAATCTCTGAATCCATGCATCACACGCATGGGGAACTTTATCTCGATTCCTAATTAGAGATAAGCCTATGCCAAACACGCGTTGCCGGTTAGTCCTTTTTCGTGAAAATGACAAAGTCTGTGTATTCAAAATCATAGCATCAAGTCTAAGAGGGTTCATTCTCTTAGCACAACGTTGCATGTGGAACGGACTTAGACAATCCATGTGTCAGCCCGACTCAAACGGTAATCGGTAAAAGCTTATCAAATCCGTTGATGGCTGAGCTTTTGTTAAAAATCCTATGCATATTCGTAGGTCCATTAGCTTAATGGATGTGAGCCGAGACTTGAAACAAATGAGCTAAAGACAAGTCTCAAAGACTTAGTCAAAAATGCACGGAAGCCACTTCCATGTCTTAAGTCAAAACGCTGAGGTCAGACCCGCGATGCAAAAACCAAACGCCGAGGTCATACCCGTGTTCCAAATTCAACATGCAAGGGTGAGACCCGCGTCTCAAGTTCAAAATGTAGGGTTAATCATCTGCATTCCAGAAGTAGGATTGTGATGCATACCTTCATACAGGTCCTACATGGCAAATCTCGTCAACCAAGATGCATTCAAAGCGAGTGCAGAGAACGAGCCCTTTACGACAAGGAATCAACAGCTCCAAGATCAGAGTTGAGATCCAAAGTATTCTGAAAATTCGTCCCAGTCAACCGCGAACTTTCAAAAACTTTGGAGGGGGTTCTGTAGGCTGTCTAAAAATCACAATAGATAGCTGATCCACCAACAAACGCCGATGATGGAGGTTACAATCTGACGACTTTCAGAAGGTTACAATTTAAAGATTTTCACGTAGATTGATGAAGGTTACAATCTAACGACTTTCACGACAACCGATGAAAGCTCTAATCAATACCCTTCACAATCAATATCGGGAGTTATAATTTAACGACTCTCATATTTTCAAGGAGCCAAGATGAAGATCAAAAGATGGTGATCTTTGCAACGCTCTAGCAAAAGAGATTACAAATCGACGGTCTCTTCAAATTCAGACGCGGAGCTCACCTATGCGTCCCAGATTCAAAACGCATAGCTCGTGGCCGCGTTCCAAACTCCCAGAACAAAACGCGGAGGTCCTCCCCGTGTGTCAACACCAAAACACGGAGGTCCTTCCCGTGTGTCAGCAATAAAACGCTGGAGTCGGACCTGTGTTGCAACACCAAAATGCGGAGGTCCTCCCCGCGTGTCAACACCAAAACGCGGAGGTCCTCCCCGCGTGTCAACCTCAAAACGCCGGAGTCGGACCTGCGTTGCAACATCAAAACACGAGGGTCAGACCTGCGTTTTTTGTGTTTGACTGGTTCAAACAGAACCTATACGGTTTTAAAATCGTATCTCCACTTAATGGGGTTGGTTACACCTCATTATGGAGAGATTTTAGGGGGGATTGCACCCCTTAAACTCTTGAACAGTTCCAAAACTGTTTCCCACGATTTGGGAGCGGTTATACCCCACTTAGGAGTGATTTAAGGGGCGGTTAGATCCCCTTAATCCTCTATAAATAAGAAGAAACTCAACTGAGTTAAGGGTTGGAACTTCTTGGCTCGGATTGACCCTAGAGCTTGGCAGCAAAGAGAGGATCTTTGGAGCATTCTCGGATCTGGAGATCGACCACCGGAGCTTTCTTCTGGCCTTGGCTTACTAACCGATTTTCGATTCAAATCAACTCTTTTACAGAGTTCTTCTAAACTCGTTCAGAGTTCTAAAACTTGCTTTGCAAGTTCTCCACAGCGTCAAACCGTGAGGAGAAGACATCGTTCCAGTGAAGCAAAACGTCAGATCGTCAACGGAGAGCAAACTCGACGCGAGCATTCGAAGGAGTTACTACATTGCCACCGTGAAAGAACCCAGAATTAAACAAAGGGGAGAATCCATATCATTCTCTTCTCTTTTGTAATCAGGAAATCCAATTGTAATTGAAGTCAAAGGAATACAAGTCAAAATTTTCTGTCATTTCTTTTACTACAAAATTTTCCCACAAACAATAGCTTTCTCATAGAATGCACACGGTTAAATGATAGTCATTTTTATAGTTGGAAGAACTTAACTAGGTTTATTATATAGACTTGTGAAACCATTGTGGCTCCTCATAAAAAAAATGGGTAAATGTAAATTAGCTGTATGCTCATATGGTGTAGGGTGTGTAGGTTCCTCCAAAGTTTGATGTCACAGTGAATTTGTAATGCATCTATCTGACACTTCATCAAGTTGCAGCAACATACTTCAGTATGTGAACGTTGATCAATTTGTTTCTAGCTCTGATTTTGGGCCTCCTTAGTTGGACATTCATCTACTTTCTATTGCTTTCATTTATTATTTGAATAATAGTAGTAGTTTTTACACTTAGTACACTAGATATTGAAGAGTATGTAAAAGTTCTCTAATGATTTGATCTAACCATTTTACCTGGTGTTCCTTTGAATATGTTGTTACATCTTACGTTTATAGGTTATGAATATATCTTCCTACCGAACTATAGTAGTTAGAGAAGCAGTTGTATGATGTTTAATATCTCATGTAGAGGGTCATTTCTTGCACATGTGGATATGTTGGCCTCTTATCTGTCTATTTTCCTCACTTCTTTCCTTCCTTTGGTGATATTTACATATGTAGGAGGCTGATAGTGCTGCTGAGCTGAAAAAACGAAAAAGGGTAACCATGTAGGGAGTTGGAGAAAAGTCAAAATGAGCTAGCCAACCAGGACCCTATATCGAGGAGCAATATGACGGTGGAAGATTATTGGCTATAATCTCTTTCTCCCTAGACAATGCATTCAAGCTAATGAGTATGAATCATTTCTCCTAAACATGTGGTTTTATCATAATGGCTCTCACAATGATGTGTAATTTATCATATTTTTAATATGTATAAAGTTGAGAGGATACATTAACCTTGTTACTTGTTGATTACAATTCATGATGCCTCTCTGCTTTTAACATTTCATTTATTATAATCATTCATAAAAGTTGCTGAAGTTGTTGAAGTCCGGATGTTAGTACAACATGTCACTCATTTTTCAACCACTTATCATTTTCATCTTTGTTTTTTAAAGGAACCTGAAAGTGCTATAACAAGAGAAGAGGAAATGGCCTTGGCACAAGAAAAAGGATGCTTGTTCTTGAATGCAGTGGAAAAACACGAATGATTGTTGAGAAAATGCTTTGGAAGACTTGGAGTAAAGGTATATTACCAAAAGAACATAATTTTTTTCTTCTAGCATCGCGATTAAGTGCTGATCACACACTGTTTCATTTTACAAAAGAAATAAGACATGCTTTGAAGAATAAACTTCAGTATGAAAGATACCAGTATTCCCATGCTCATATTGACATATTGCTGTGTGATATATCTAGTTCTTTTCATAATCAATTTGCTAATTCTTTTGTATTTCAACTGTTAATTGCTATTTGCTAAATGCTTGTCATATATATATGCAGCAGACATATTCTTGAAGAGAAAGAGCTAAAGTCGTACATGAAGAAGCTCCAGAGGAAGAAGAGTAAGGGTTTAGCTGGAAACAGATTATAGAAAAATGTTGTTCATTATACATGAATTTGTTCTTGAGTAATTTGTTGCATAATCAGCTTGACTGAATTTTTTTCTTGCATCTTTTCTATGTAAAAAAACATGAGGATGTTTTAATTTGATTAAAGGAAATGATGAATGCGTTGTGTTTTTGTCTCTATTAAGAGTGATTATTCTAGAACATCATTGATTTTTTTTAAAAAAATAGGTACTTGCCCCAACGGTTGTACCCGTTGGGGCTAGTTAAGACCCCAACGGTTACTGTGTCATTCGGGCTGATTAAGGCCCAACGGTTCCACCCATTGGGACATTTTTTTATTTTTTAAAAATAAAAAATAAAATTTTCTTGCCCAAACGGTTGTAACCGTTGAGCATGTTTTTCAACCGTTGGGGGAAAGTAAGCCCCAACGCGATTTGTCCCAACAAGTGTTTTTGCAGCCCCAACGGTTGTAACCGTTGGGGACATGCTTAGTCCCAACGGTTACAACCGTTGGGGCTGCTACAGTTTGTATTAGTGTAAATAATTTTTTTTCCATATTTCAAAAATCGCTTCATTATCGTTAGATCTCTCTTCTCAACCCACAAGCCGTCAAAGATTAATGTAAACTTTCCCATAGTCTACCATAATTTAAAGCTGTAATTATTGTTTGATACACTAGGGAAAATCCAGAAAAAAGATTTTACAAATGCAAAAATCAGAGTTGCAAGTTTTAGATTTGGTGTGACAAAGATTTTTCATATTGGATAAAGCTTTTGTTGAACTTCTTGTTGGAGAAGAGAAATGAATCGTAGGTAATCAAGGAACCCCTTCAACAGAAGGTGAATAGCATGAAGATGAGAGTGAGAGGCTCAGGGGGTGTTTGTTTTATTATTTTTTTGAGGATATAGGGTGGATTTCAAATTTTTGGATGTAAAAAGGGTTTTTTTTAGTTTTGGTATTTCATAAACCTTGTTTCTTTCAAAATTAGTTTTGGGATATTGAATCCCCAAATTATAAAAAAGTAATCTATTTTAGGATTTGTAAAATCCCCTCATTGAGCTGGGATATAGGCTGGATGTCTGACAAAATCCGTCAGCTCATTTTTTCTCACCTTCCGTAAACCAAAATCCCCCCATTCTCATCACCGCTTCGGTTCTTTTCCTACCTCTTTTACCCGCCTCCTCTATTTCCCGCTATTATATTTTACCCGCCGCCTCCTCTTCTCGCCTCCTGTTCTTACTCGTCGCCTCCTCACTCTGTTACTCCAGTCATCGCTATCCTCGTGGCCCTCCTCTTTAGCCCGCCACCTCCTCCATTTCCCGCCGCCTCTTTTACCCGCCGCCTCCTCCATTTCAGTTGTATCTTTGGTAAAGAACGAGTATTTGGACGGCAAAACTGAGATTAGGGCGAAATTAATTTGGGGATTTCTGTCGATTCTGGATTCTAGGGTTTCAGGCAATTTGCTCAAATCCTGCAGGTATAGATCTCGCACCCCCTCTCTCTAAATATCTGCTTTGATTTGTGTTAGGGTTTTGTAATTATGATTTGGGTTAATTTTTGTTGTTTGCTGAGTTTTGATGCATGCTAAGTTTCAGTTTGCTGCTGAGTTTTGATGCTGGGTAGATTTGGGCTGATTTTTGTCGATTTTGTAAGTTGTAAGATCTGAAATAACAGAGAGCTGACAACATACCACATATGTGCAACGTAAAGTTGAAGATCATTATAACTCATACACTTCTGGAGTCTAGTTATCATAAGCACAACTCTCTTTTGTGAAATTTGAATATTGTAAGATTCATGTATCCATGCATAGTTTTTATAATTGATACTATTTAAATGCATATATCATACCTGGTTCTGGTGAAAATCAATTTTTTCTTGGTTTTGGTTAATAGGGTAGTTGTCCTTACATACAGAAATGCGTCTTTTGGCAAAGATCTGGCTGTCGTTTATATGATGGTCCATATAGAAACATGATGGTCGATATAGAAACATGACTGTCTGAATTTGTTTTAAATTTTGTCAAGAAGAAATGAAATAATGGTCACCGAAAACGCACTTAACTAATCACGTTAGCGTGAACCTTTTCCATTGTTTAGTATGAGATATGATTAACTTCGATTAAATTGTGCCTTGCTATTCTATTCTACTATTTTTAGTTTTCATTTTCTATTTAATATATATTAAATAAAACATAGGACACAAGATCAATATGGACCCTGCTATTAGCTGTTCTCATCATTTTCATGAACCAAGCTAGAGGTTTGTTGGATGTAGTATTGCATGGACAATTTGACCTATTGGGATTGTGGCATGAGTTACTTCTGTTAGTACATTTGTTTTGATGATGATTTACAAACAATTCTTAATATCGTTTGTCTAGTGTTCATACTTGCCTATTAGGTATTCTAGACAAACAACATAGTTAGAGGTTGGTTGGACTTGCGCCTACACGATCATATCCATCGGAGGATGGAAGGAATATCGGAATAAAGTTTTGCATTTCAAGTCAAGTACAAGTTCAAGCTTCATCCGTAACCAAGACGAGCATATCGAAGATCTCTTAGCTTGTGTATATTGTTTTTAATTTAGATCTTATTCTTTGTGTGGTTCTGTTTAAATCTTACACACATACACGTTTTTGGTTTATTGCTTTTAAGTTAAATCAAATAAACATGAAACAAATAGTTACATTTACAAACATACATGCTAGTTTCATTTTTATCATCTTTATTTGGAAAATATTGTATTTTTGAGTTATAGACTTAACGACAAGATTTTATATCTTTTCTCAAGTCTATAAATCTATTTTGAAGTGTTTCAAAACTTGTTTGAATAATTTTTTATCAAAATCAAGTTTTAACATTTTCATATTTTTAAACGGTTTGCAAAATACATAAATTTTCTAAAATTGGAAATGCAAATTAAAAAATTATTTTTGTAACATGTTCATTATCATGTTTATAAATATTTCTCAAAGTTTTATATTTTTTAAAATTTATTTGATACTTTTAAAGGTTTAAAGCTGATGTTTTCTGTTCAAAACAGGCTATGTGCATGTTTTGAGTCGACTCGCTACAGTATTGAGTTGACTTATGAAGTGTTGAACAATTAGTGTTTTCATCTGCTGAGTCGACTAAAAAAATCAATGAGTCGACCCATCCAGACATCAGTCGATTCACTACAGTGGTAAGTTGACTAATGAAGTGTTGAGCAGCTTGTGTTTTTCATCTGCCGAGTCGACTGATAATTCTATGAGTCGACCCATGCAGACATCAGTCGACTCATACCTATCATAAGTCGACTAATAATGTAGCCGTTGCGCCGTAATGGCTAGTTTCTAGATTTTGTGTTTTTTAATGTTTTTATGGGTTTTTGTTGGTTTCTTGGGCTGATTTCTTCTACCCTAGATGTACCCTATTACATTTAACACTCCAAACTACTAAGAAAGTTTTAATCAAGTTTTACAAGGGTTTGAAGTTTGTTTAAGTGTTGTTTTACAAGTTTTTGTGAAGAAACTTTCACAAGAGAAAGAGGAGATTGGTTCTATCGATTTGAGCTTCATTTTCATCCATCTCTCTTTCTTGAATTTCAGAGAATATTCTTCTAAACTCAATTTCTAGCCTTATACAAGTATTTGTTATTTATTCATTCTATTAAGCTAGAATTTACATTGAGTTTAGTTTTGATTATTGCTCTTTGTTCACACACATCCCTACTGAGCTTTTAGTATTTTCATACACTATATTATTAGGTTGTGGTGACTGATACATTGAGTGTGAGCTTTATTGAGTTCTCATCTTATTAGAGAACCAAATCTTTGTATTTGACAATATTTGTAAGGATCATTTTATAATACATAAGTACACCGAGAGGAGTGTGTGGTGAGAGACGGGGTCGATTACAAGAGGAGTGACGTCAGTAGTAAAGCCTAGAGAGAGGTTGTAAATCCGAGCACTTGAGGAAGGTGACAAGTGCTAGGCTAACACTTAGTGGGTGTAGTGTGTGTTTATATTGCGAGTGTTTGTAATAGTTTTCGGTGAGCTAGGAAACCGAGTACGTGTTGTATATTTATTGAAAGATTGTGGATATCTCCTTGAGGTGAGGAGCGGAGACGTAGGTCAAGGGTTGACTGAACTCTGTGATTATAATGTTTGTTTGCGTTTGTCATTAGCGTACTTTTATATTTGTGCTTATTGTTTATCTCGCCTATTGCATCTTATTTCATCCTTGATTATTTATTCTTGCTCATAATTAGTTATATATCATACTTGCAAGAATATATTGTTAATAAGTTTTAATTTGGTATTAATATCAGATTAGATTAGCATATACCCTATTCACCCTCTCCATTTAGGTTAATTTTATTTGGTATCAGAGCAATTTTATTTTGTATCAGAGCATGGTGCTATTTGATTTGTGGCTTAACCACCTTGAGTTAAAGATCCTAGCTTTATATTTTTGCTAATTTAGTTTTGAGATTTTTTTTCATCTTGTTATATATATATATATATATATATATATATCATGGATATGCATGGTGCACCTAGTTTAGGTTATGCCATTAATGTTGCTCCTAGATTAGATGGTTTTCCTTATGCTCAATGGTGTGTTAGATTTAAATTATTTGTTAGATCTAGATATTTTGATTTATGGAAAATTATCGATTGTGCTTATATTGTGCCCACGTTGAAGAAATCCAAGTGAAGTAAAAATAATAAGAAAATGTTTACAATGAATAATCTCTTGCTAGAATTTTTGCTTAATGCTTTTGACTCATTATTTTCTAACAAGCTTGATTCATTTGATAGTGCTTACACATTGTGAAAATTTATAGAAGCACATCGAGGGAACTTAGAGGTGATTCGATGAGCTTTAGCGGCTTCCTCTTCAAGTTCTATTCGAACATCATCATCATGCACATGCCCACTAGGCGATAGCCCTAGTATGGTAAGCGAGTCCGATTCCGATGATAAACTATCTATTAGTGAACTCGCATGTGCGTATAAAAGATTAATGCACGCCTACACCAAGTTGCATAAAATTTTTATTGATTCGAAAAGCAAGCATGTTGAACTAAAATCCAATCATGAGTTGTTAGCATCTAAGTTTGATACAATTTCTAATGAGAATGTGATCCTCAAAGAGAATAATGAAAATTTAAAGTTGGATCATGAT